TCTGTACCTGTACTATTACTTATTCTGTGCTGGCGGCTCTCGGCCGCGTGTGCGGCGCGGTGAGCCGCTAGAAGCTTCTGACCATAAAAGGATAGAGGCCTCCGGCCAATCAGCGGGCCGCATTGCTAACGGCTAGCTTGGAATGTTCTAGGCGCGCGATAATAATATTACGCGCGCACCCAGATTCGCTTCTTATTATTTAATGATCCAAAAACACATACACAGAGTGTAAGTTCGACATAATGGCACATAATGGTCAATAACAGTGTACATTATTATTATTACGATGTAAATATACTCATAGGTTATTAAACATTCATTTAGTTAATAGATCCCAAGCTACGTAAGTTTACTAGTTATTTAAGGATTAAATTAAGGAGAAAATTAAAATTTATTTATTTTGGTAACATAAAAAAAATCTTATGTAGGTAAGTACTTATTTAGTGGCCTTAATGGAATGATGTTTATTCAAAAATTCGTTAAAATACCTCTGCGCTTGCAAAAATCTTTTATTTCAAACGTAGCAACGAAACGAAGCAAAAAAGTTAGTAGAAGCCGAAATCAATTAGATTCAAGAATCAAGACTTATTTTTATACCATACACAAATGGGATAGTTACCATGACTATGAAATTTAGAATTACGTTAAAGCAGGCACATTTTTCATGTTAATTTTAATCGCTTAATATCCCCTTAGCAAATTAAAGAATGAAATGAGCTGATAAAGGTAGCGGGAAGGCGCTGGATGCAGGCCGCTACCAACCGTGCGATGTGGAAGTCATTGGGGGAGGCCTATGTTCAGCAGTGGACGTCCTGTGGCTGAAATGATGATGATGATGAAATTAAAAAATGTGATTCGTAATTGACTCGATCATAGCAGAAATTAAACGCTATCGAATTATCTACCTGTGATTATCGGCAGTCTTTAGTATTCCGAAGTAAATAAATAATTGTTCCCAACCATCAATTTCAAACTGAAATAATAATAACTAAAATCATCGTAGAAACAAAAAAATAAATTTGTAAAAGTAAAGAATGATTTTATTATTATTATGATTAGAAAGAACTTTGGAGTTGACATCCTTATTTATGCGTGGCAGAGTCGGCGGTATCACAGCAGTATCAAAGACAGCCGTCCCTCACAATGGCCAATGGCCGACCGCGCTAGTGTTGTAAGTAAGAACCTCGAGTCTTAAAAGTCTTTGTTTCGAGACTTGAGTTTATTTTTAAGACTTCACATGAATCATTGAGCCTTCCGAGTCCTTTCGAGTATTTAAGTTCTTTGAGCTAGACTGAATCATGACATGAACTTGAGTTGGTGTATACAAATAGGCAATAATGAGTGATTTCATATCATCATCCGTATGTTATATCCTGATTGAAAATAAAATAAATCGCACAATACAAATGTAATATCAATAAAATTGCATTAAACGCAAATAATCGAATCAGAAGTATCCATCTAAAGACTGACGATTTTCTTAATCAAAAAGTTAAAACGCGATTCCCATGAAGCCTGGATTCGAACAAGATCTAGGTCAATCCAAAAGTAAGGCGATCGCTCAGTTTCACAACATGGAGGGCAAGATGTCAAGAAACAAGGAATTCTGCGAAAGTTACAAACAATTTTTGAGAGAGTATGAACAACAAGGTCACATGTCTCTAGTTACAAAACACAATGAAGAACCATCGTGCTATCTCCCTCATCACGGTGTGTTGAAAATTGAGTCGACTACAACTAAGCTTCGAACCGTCTTCAATGCATCCTCGAAAACATCAACCGGGCGCAGTCTCAACGATTTAATGGAGCGCGGTCCTAATCTACAAAAGGATCTACAGCATCTCATCTTGGTATGGCGTCAACACAAATACGTTATAACCGCTGATATCGAGAAGATGTTTCGCCAAATAAATATTCGTGAACCCGATCAACATTTACAACGCATTATATGGAGGAGCACACCGTTGGAACCACTAAAGGAGTATCAGCTTACAACTGTTACCTACGGGACAAAGGCGGCTCCTTACCTGGCAATGCGCACTCTAAAACAGCTGGCCTTGGACGACGCGCATAAGTTCCCCTTGGCTGCTGCTGCACTGATGTCGTCATTCTACATGGATGACCTACTTGAAGGCTGTGACGAAATATCTCAAGCTAAACAACTGCAACAAGAGATTATCGACATACTCAAGGGAGCTGGAATGAATATTCGCAAGTGGTCCAGTAATACTCACGAACTCATTGAAGATTTGGCAGCAGAACAACTAGATGCGCCACTCGACTTCAAGAGCTCTGAGAACAGAAAAACCTTGGGCCTACGTTGGAACCCTACTTCGGACACCTTCTCATTCAAAAACATATTTCAACAAGAAACAACTGACAACACAATAACAAAGAGACAGTTGTTATCAGAGATCTCTAAGATCTTCGACCCGTTGGGATGGCTATCTCCATTAACGATACGTGCAAAGCTTTTATTTCAACGTACATGGTCTGAAGAATCAATAGAGTGGGATCAATGTCTACCTGAAGACATTAACAACAAATGGACACAACTGAAAAGTGAACTTCAACACATTGAAGATTTCAAAATCCCTAGATACCTAGGAGATAAAAACAAATATTCAGTACATGGCTTCTGNCGGGTTGATTGATGAAGATTTCAATCTGTTTTGTGAACAACAGTTGAGGGTTGTTGTATCTGTGAGTTAGCAGTTCCCATGCCGTCTCATAGTTATCAGCTGAGATGTGTAGATGTTGAATCAGTCGCTCAGCATCTCCTCGCAGTTTACCTTTCAAATGTTGCATCTTTTGCGTGTTGGTAAGGAGGTTGTTGTTATGAATACTTTCCACGTACATGTCGTAGAATGTAGGCCATTGGGTATATTTGCCAGTAAAGGTTGGTATGTCGATTTGTGGTGTCGACTGTTGAAGATGCACAGTTGATGCAAGTTTTAGGTTCAGAGCCTTTTTAATGCCTTTGTATGATTCTTCGTAGGCATAAAACTCGTCGTCATATTGTGTATTTGAACCTTGTAGAATGTTGTCGATTTGGAGGTGCAAAGCGTCGATTGCACTCCAACGTGTTTGAATGTTGCGTAACTCGTCTTCCAANTATTATTTATTTATATTTATTTAAAAGAGAGATTGGAGTAACTTTTAAGGCCCCATAAAATAAAAACTGGATCGCCTTTTTATTTTTACAAGACGAATGGCGTTTACGGGGCTTTAAGGGAGCATGTACAGTACATTTGTTTATTATAATTTATAGACAACCGAGCTTGAAGAACTCCTTAACATAAATTTTATTTGATGTAGTGACTCATCATCATCATCATTTCAGACACAGCACGTCCACTGCTGAACATAGGCCTCCCCCAATGACTTCCACATCGCAGGGTTGGTAGCGGCCTGCATACAGCGCCTTCCTGCTACCTTTATCAGGTCGTCGGTCCACCTTGTGGGTGGTCGTCCCACGCGTTATTTTTTAAATTCATTTTTGTCCAAGTAACTTATATGGTAACAAGTGTGATAAGTTATTTTTCACTCTGACAAGCAACTGTTGCCTATCTGAATTTTCCCAGCAAAGTTTTGGAGTCACGTATATTTTAATACGGAAGTGGGAAAATTTAATAATGTACCCTTATAAATTAAACACACTGGGTTTTGCCTTTCGCTTCTGCCGCTTTGTATGCAGTTTTGTAATAATTCTGTTTAGTCTGTGGATTTGTAATTTGTAATTTGTAATTGAAATAGATATAGGTAACTTGTTTTTGGAATTACTGGCTTTTTGATAAATGTTTACGGAAATAACATGTTATTACATGATCTATTTATTATTCTCATAATTATTAACTGTAGATGTTAATAATGTTATTATCATTTACCTACCACCACCTACCCACTATCCTAAAAAATGGCACGTGATGCTGCCTATAGAAACACCCTTATTTTCATTTTATTTGTTACAAGAGGGTTATATTGTGTGACTTTCTTGGATATATTTTTTATAAATTATTTTATATCACTTTTTGGGAACAAAGTTTAACCATGATTTATCTAAAAAAAAAAAAAATTTTCCGTGCAATCGTACTTAAAAAATGTTTGGAAATTTCAAAAAGCCTCTTTCCCCCAAACTCCCAATATTTCCAGCGTTAAAAAAGCTTTCCTTTCTTTCCACCCGTAACGAACCTCCATTTTGTTCTTCAAAGGTTGCACCTTTACACACTGGCGTTACTCGTTCCATTAGTCTACACAGAGCTAAAGGAAAAAGCACTTGCCCATACTGGCTTAGTGCCTTTTACTGTGATGCGGATTTCGGCCACGCGTGCGAATCTGAGGGCTTAGTGTGAGTTTATATCAAATGTCGTCGCAAGTGAGCGCGTCAAAAAAATTTGTTAAGATTTTACTTCTTGAAAATATCCACTAGGAAGTCTTGAAACGCTGTACAATCCATCATTCCATACTTTAATGTAGCCACGATAGCTGAACGGTGAAGGGGTCGGACTAACTTGCGATTGTGGTGAGTGAGCTCACTCGTGACACAAGCATATTCAGCTTACTGTACGAGGGGCTAACGGAACTATTAGTAATTTAGTGGATTAATAAAGGACGTAGCAAAGTTATCAACCCGGAAAGGGATCGTAACCGTATCAACTAGAGGCGTCCGGTATTCTTTGTATGAAACTCCATACTGCAACGCACACTCATCCGCACCGTACGTGAACGCCTCGCTCCGCGGTTGACAGCGCAAGAAATTCGATGACAGGCTGTCATTGACAGCTCGCTAAAGGCAATACGGTGTTGAGCCCTTTCCATGTTGATAAGTCTGCTAATCTTTGACCTTATATGCGCACGTGTGCGGAAATCCGCATTACAGAAAAAATACACTTAGGCTGGGTTGCACCACCTTACTTTAACATTGACAAACGTCAAAAATCTGTCAAACTCCATACGAAAAACACTGGTTATCGTCATAGTTATGGTCAAAGTTAGGTGGTGCAACCGAGCCTAAGTGTATTTTTCCACGCGGTATCAGTATTCGGAATCAGCAAATGGACTGAAAAATGATCCTGGGTACTCCAGGACGCAATATGGATATTTGAACCGTGGATGGAGTGAAGCCGATCCCATTCAGTTTTTTTGAAGTCTTTTTTAATTCAAAAAACTGAAGCTAGTACTTCAAACTACTATTAGATTTAGAAACAGGCATCAGAGAAATGTTTTATTACTTTTGATCTCCTAATAAATTTTGATAAAATTATTTAAAACTTAAGAGCTGATAGTCAAATCCTAAATTTTAATGACTGTAAGTAAAGTATTCCCTCTCAAACAACTTATTTGAAAACTTCGTTAAAACTAGGTCTTTGTAAAAACTTGTAACATCATTTACGCTTAATGTTGAATAAATTTCATTTACACTAACGTATTTTCCCGATATGAAATTTTCGAACCTTTACAAAAGTTGTCTTATTTCAAATTAACACAACTTAGAAAGGTCACAGTAGCTTTAAAAAACCTAAATCTCAATCAACTACGTATTTTTAATGCAAGTAAATATCACTGAAGTTTACTACTAGTATCCGCAGGAGAACCAAAGTAACCGACATAGCTCGCAGAATTGCTAAAATCAAGTGGCAGTGGGCGGGGCACATAGCTCGTAGAGACGATGGCCGTTGGGGCAGGAAAGTTCTCGAGTGGCGACCACGGGCTGGAAGACGTAGCGTGGGCAGGCCTCCTACTAGGTGGACCGACGATCTGGTGAAGGTCGCGGGAAGAACCTGGATGCGGGCAGCGCAGGACCGTTCATTGTGGAAAACCTTGGGGGAGGCCTTTGTCCAGCAGTGGACGTCATTTGGCTGAAAACGATTACTACTAGTATTATTTATTAAATAATTTATATCAGGTTTTCACAGTTTTAAAAATATTCCTAAAGCTAGTTGCCGCAAGTTGAATTCCTACATAAGCCAGTCTATTTTGCAACTATAAACTCATGAAAGACTTACGACTGATATTATTAGTATTTTTCATCCACCCTATAGAGAGAAAACCTTTTTTTTTACCACAATGAGGAAGATCTTGACTTGCACCTCACCTGATGGAAAGTGATGAGCCGATGGTGTAAGGAAGCTTCGTCTGTAATCCTCAACCACAAAAGAACTGGCTATGTTCCTTCAACTACTTAGGCTGAGTTGCACCATCTTACTTTAACTTTGACAAACGTCAAAAATTTGTCAAACTCCCTTCAAAAAGCACCAGTTATCGTCATAGTTACCCTTAAAGTTAGGTAGTGCAACTCAGCCTTACTTTTACTTTTTTTTACTGTTACCTACTGCGTTTTCCTCCATTACACATCAACTTTTCGTATCTTACACCACGTTATTATAAAACTTATAATGAAAATATAACTCGGGCCTAAACTGTTTTAAAGTTCAACACACTTAGGCTTGTAAATACTTTATACGTTGTAAATACTCCTTTATGTTGGAACTAAATATCTGCCTATAATACAGTTTTGAATTTGAAGTACTTTGTAAAGGTTTTAGTAAGTAAGTTTACGTTAGCTCAATAATTTTAGAGACTTGAAGTGTAAGTAAGTAGGTATGAAACATTTTGTGTGTGAACTTGTAAGGAAACTTAGAGTGGGTACTTGTAACACCTTATAACATTGATTTTATGGAATACCATAATATAAATATTAATACCATATAAAATAATATTATTATTTTGTTTATGGTATTTCTGATTACAAGAACCGGAAATTGAATGGAATTCAGACAGTTGGTTGATCAGTCGTACATAAACATAATTTGACAGTAAAATAGTTATTAAATTAAAATATTTTAGAATGCAGTACATTGCCTAGCTTTTTAAGAAATATAAAAAAATATATTGTGTCTATATTAGTAAAAGTCAATTTGAATAGATTCTTAAAACCCGAAAAAGGTTGAAGTCAAGAAAATATCACCATTAAAAAACTTGTGACGTTCAAACTTACAAACAAACCAGTCCACTGGAACAAGCCAACAGCTGTTCAACTGATTAACTTGGAGACAGAAATAAAAGACGTTACTATTGGAACGGCGAAAACTGGAATGGTTCGCGCCTAATCCGGGACGAAGGAATAGATGAACCAGTCCACTCAGCTACGGCATGTACAAGTACATACAGCAAAAATAGATTTCAAACTAAAATTCTACTAAACCTCCGTTTGTCACCTGTCATCTGCTTTGCAACGGAGGGAAGTCGAACCTTAACTTCGAACTCCTCCTATGTTCTTCTGATTAATTTCGTTGCGGGTCCAATGACAGTTGAACTTTCACCCGGGACAAACTTACCTTCACTGGTTGGGTTTTTATTGGCGGTCAAGCTATAGATCCTGGCTACACAGGAGTTGCAGTGGTGAGTAAGAGAGGTGGGATTATTCCCGTAAACTAAAATTTTATATGAGATTGAGATCAAATAGATAAAACGTAGCATTATTGTTAGTAGGTAACTTTAACTTCTAAAACTAATAAATTCCTTGATTTGGGGGTTTCATAACTTATAGACACAAGCTATAGGATTATTATCGCCTCTTGTTCCACCGCTGCAACTCCTCTGTAGCCAGTTGCTTGACCGCCGATAAAAAACCCAACCAGTGAAGGTCAAATTTGTCCCGGGTGAAAGTTAAGCTGTCCCGCAACGAAAATAATCAGAAGATTCATTTAGAAGGAGTTCGAAATTACGACAGAAGCTATGCTTAGTAGTACTGAGGCCGCTGGTGTTTTTTTTATGTAGTCGAATTCCGTTGTCGTCTTATGAGAATTTAGAGGTTGGAAAGAGAGAGAGATTGGAAAAAAAACAGCTCATTGGGAAGCCGGGAAGTGGGTCAATTTTAAATTGCAAGATTTGACGACAGATACCAGACATGTGAAAGTAAATAAAAGCTTGTAAAATACACTGTGCCGAATTTCTGTATTGGCTGCTTTCATTTCAGCTGTGCCTGAAATCGTAATGTGAAAGTTTCTTAGCAATCCGGAATTAAGAGGAAGAAGTGTTAATAAAGAAATCCTAGGAAACTTTATAAATAATCGGCTTTTTGGAACTGTTAATTGAGTTTGTTTTATACTTTTTCGTTTTCATTCGCTTTTTGAGACATGTTTAAGTCGACCGATTTAGTAGTTTACCTAGTTTAAAATGTGTGCTTTTTTCATAAAATATTGTAAGAAGCATAATATAGTAAGTAGATGTGAGAGTGCATGTACTTATTTAAATTAGTGCCAATAAAGATAGACTGAAAAAACAGTTTTTTAAACAGCGTTCGAATATAGCGTTAAAACAATTTGTTCCGAAACATGAACATCTGTAGAACAACCAAGTTGCTTGTTGTTTACTTTATTCGTCAAAGTTTTTTGCGTTACAGCTCTGGTTCTTTTTACTCAAGTTATAAAGTTTATGTTCGCTCGATCGTATGCGAGACAACAGTCTTCCGATTAAATCTGGTATCGGTCGTAATTTAGAATCTCTAAGTTATTTCATTATCATTATCCACATGTCAGAGTGAGGAAAAGAAATTGATAAGTTCTAGTATTGAACATGGCATTAGAGCCATTAGTTGGAACGGCATAATTCTATAAAATTGTTTTGTGTGTGTGTGGATCACCACCACTTCCTACTTCTTATTATTATAATTAGCTGTATCGCAGTGATTCGCGTTTTAAGCTTTAGGTTTAGAGAGACTTTAAGAGCTATTTACATAATTATTGGTTATTAGTGTTTTAGTTATTTTTTCGTTTGAAATTACCAGTAGGTATATTCAGCGTTTGCATCGTTGAAAAAACAATTACCTACATTTAAAATAGCTTTAACATACTGTTTGTTTAAAAATAGCTCTACTGCAAGCGATTACGCAACACACTCATTTTCTAATCCACTGCAGAATCAATCCGACGTGCGCTGTCGGTTCAGTGGGAGGAGTAAATAACCTTTGGTTTATTTTAAGCTGCAGTAAATTTATATTCATTAGCACTCTACAGTTTAGATTTCAGGGATAAACTAACTATAGTCTGTCTGTCAGTCGCGACAGCAATATAATTACGCGCGAGCGATAAGGATGGGTAGCTAGGGGTCATTGGACAAAATTCTACGTGCTCACGGACCGGGCTTTAGTAGATAGATTTTGTAACGATACAACTTTTCATTTACTTATTGTTTGTTTTTAATAAAATAATAGAGAAGGTTTTTTGGGTATTTCTGATTAAATGTTAATGACGGTACATTAACTCTCAAAACTTAAATAGAAAATAAACGAGATAAAATTAATTGGCTATGTAATCCTACCCCAAAATAGGAACTTCATTTATTTGATATTGGAGTCTTCTTTCACTTCTCTCTAAGTTTTAAATTATCCCATACTTCTAAACAATCTGTGAATTTAAGCTAAGTTACATATGCTAGCACAACCTTTGGATTGTCAAATCATCACTTGATTTTGGGTTCTATTTTATAGACCATAAAGCCGACTGTCGATCAAAAGCGGCGGGATTACGTCTATAAAACTTGACAGAGTAATATTTGCGACAATTTTATTCGTGCGTCTGTTGAAACAGTTTCTGGTCTTATGCCGGTGGGATTGTGGTAAATTTTGCTTGTGTCTCCAGCAATATTATTTGTCAACACTTCAGAAAAGTCGTCCTAACGTGACACACATCATTCAAGTCAAAACTTGAGTAACAATTCCAATTTCGTGTGGGTGTCAAATGAGTACTCGGTAAATTGATTTGCCATTTTCTACGAAACTTTACAGCAGATCTTATTATGTACTGCCAGTTGCTGTTTATTTTGCAAAGCTCATATGATTACCGTGGCCTTATTGGAAGTGAGTTATAAGCGCTAATGCACACGACGCCGCCACCGCGCCGCTGCCGCGCCGCCGCCGCGCCGACGCTGCGCCCCTACACTGTTCATACGCGCTGCGTAAAGCCCGCCGGTGCGCCGCCGCCGCGCCGCCACCGCGCCGTATAAGCATAATTTCACCGGTCCGCCTTTGACGGCACGGCGGCGGCGCGGCAGCGGCAGCAGCGGGCTTCACGCGGCGTATAAACAGTGCAAAGGCGCGGGGGCGGCGTGGCGGCGGCATCGTGTGCAGGAGCGCTAACGACTAACCGAAGGACTCTGACAGATATTTGCAAACTTGAGTTGATATGGTCTCGAAATAGTATATCAATATTTACATTAAGTGGGACGTCCAGACGTCCACCCACAAGGTGGAATAACCTTTTAAAGGTCGCAGAGAGCCACTGGACCCAGGTCACTTACACGACCAATATGGGAATCATTGGAGGAGTGAACGCCCTGTGGCTGAAATGATGATGAAGATGAACCAATATCTGTGTTCTCATTTTTGTTTCTTCCCTTACTCTCTTCTCATTTTTGTTACTACACCTTAACATCACTTTTCAGCAGCATCTTATTTCATGTATGTACTTAATAAATTATATTATTTACAACAGCTCGCTTTTGACCGCTACATCCTCCACGTAGATAAATAAAAACTATTTTGTACACATTCTAGTTATAAATCCATCTAAGTTTTGTTGATATTAATAATTTAGATAGGTTATTCTTAAGTAATAAAGTAAGTCTTCAAATTAATGTTTTTTGTTACCTAAAATGGCGAGTCCTCACTAAATTTCTTTAAAGCCTAAGAAAATAACTCTCCCACATGTAACATTACTGGTTTATTTCGCTTAAGCTGTCACTACTTGTGTACTTAAAAGTAATACCGATAGTAATCTATCGGAGTGGTTTCGATTCTAAATCTCTCCGATTCGTTGGGTCGTTGCAAAAAAACACAATTCGTCCATTCCATTGAGTATTCACTAAAAATGTATAAAGCCTTAGTAGACTCACACAGCATAGATAGATAGATAGATAAAACGTTTATTTGCATAACAGAAATATATTATTTGCATAGGTACTTTTAAACTTAATTTCAGCCATTGAATACACTTTTTGCATTGTTTCTAATGGTTTATCAACTGCAATATGCATACAGTAGATAGTTGTACGGGTTACCGCACATATGTTAATGTCAACGACATACCTAATCTAGGTCACTTAGAAATAGCAATTATGCACACTTTATACGTCACGTACGTTCGTACTTCTGCTATTCTATCATTTTATAAATAATTGTGTTATGTGAAATAAATCAGTGTTATTACGACTATCATTGGGTTTGGTTTCGTACACTAACTATCCCATACAAATCGTCGGCACTCATCCTGTAACTGTAAGACGCTACAGTTTCTTTGGTCCNGACATTAACAACAAATGGACACAACTGAAAAGTGAACTTCAACACATTGAAGATTTCAAAATCCCTAGATACCTAGGAGATAAAAACAAATATTCAGTACATGGCTTCTGCGACGCGTCAGAAAAAGCATACGCCTGCGCTGTATACGTCACTACTACAAATTCTAAGGGCGAAGTCACATCGACGCTTGTGACTGCAAAGACAAAATTGGCACCTTTGAAAAATAAGTTATCTCTACCTAAACTGGAACTTTGCGGCGCGCTCTTACTATCACAGCTCATAAAAAAGGTAGTTGAAACATTACCACAGCAAGCTATAATATACGCATGGACCGATTCCATGGTGGTACTTGGTTGGCTCAATGGAGACATCAATAGATGGAAATTGTTCGTTGCCAACAGAGTTCGAACAATACTTACCGTCATCCCATCATCAGCTTGGCATCACGTCCGATCTGAAGATAATGCAGCAGATTGCGCTACAAGAGGACTGACATCGCTACAGTTGTCAGAACAAACCTTGTGGTGGCAGGGCCCCCATTGGTTGGTTACATTTGATCCGAACAGTATCAAAGATAACACATACCAACCACCTGCGTTAGAAACCAAGAAATCGAATGTGAACGTGGCCTTAACTTATAAAAACGATTTAGTTGTACAATTATTACATGAGTGCAGCTCGACACTACGCATGGCAACAACAATCGGCTGGCTATCACGTTTCACACAGTGGTTGCGCAATAAACAAATACCACGACAAAGTTACCTATCCACGACGGAAATGCAATGCGCCCTCAATTTGATTATAAAGACTGTTCAATCAATGGAATTTGAAGACGAGATTGAACAACTTCAGAATCAGAATAAAGTCAAGAGTTGCAGTAAATTGGCGAGCCTTAACCCTTACATCGACCCTCATGATGGATTGCTTCGGGTAGGCGGGAGATTAAACAACTCGTCACTTAGTCAATCATCAAAGCATCCGATAATATTATCAAGTCACAGCAAATTTACCGAGCTTATTATACAACAGGCTCACACTGTCACGCTACACGGCGGACCAAGCTTGACACTGTCTTACATACGAGACAAATATTGGATACTAAGTGGGCTTCGGACTGTAAAGAGAGAGCTACGCAAATGTGTTAAATGTCGGCGATTCAAGGAAGAGAAAAAGACGCAGATGATGGCGGACCTACCACAGCCCCGTGTCACACCCTCGCGCCCTTTCACACATACTGGAGTTGACTTCACCGGTCACTTTGACATCAGAGCCAACAAGGGGCGTGGTGTGCGAACACATAAAGGATACGTGGCGGTCTTCGTCTGCTTAGCAACAAAGGCCGTTCATTTGGAATTGGTGTCTGATCTTTCCACACCTGGGTTTCTGGCTGCATTTCGACGTTTTTGCGCTAGAAGATCAGTACCTAAACACATGTACAGTGATCAAGGAAGAAACTTTATTGGAGCGAATAAAGTATTGAAAAAGGAATACAAGGAGGTACTGCAAACAATCGACATACAACTACTAAACAAGGCTACTGATTACGAAATTCAGTGGCACTTCAACGCGCCAGCTTATCCCTCAGCTGGTGGCCTTTGGGAGGCCGCTGTTAAAAGTTTGAAACACCATCTACGACGAGTGATGGGAGAACAAAGGCTCACATACGAGGAGTTCATCACACTTCTTCATCAGATTGAGGCCTGTCTCAACTCGCGGCCCCTACTGGTTGTGAGTGAAAGCCAAGATGATGAGTATCTTTCACCGGGACACTTCCTAGTTGGTGGACCGCTTATAACACGTCCACAAACGGATCCCGAACAAGTGAACTTGACCACAAGATGGCAGATGGTCCAGGCAATGAATAAACAATTCTGGAAGAAATGGTCATCTGATTACCTACAACAACTTCAAGTTCGTTCTAAGTGGATAACACCCTCAAAAAACATTGAAGTGGATGAAATCGTTCTAATCAAGGACGAAAACCTGCCGCCTGGCAAGTGGGCAATGGGCAGAGTAATCGAGGTACATCCGGGCAAGGACGGATACGTCCGTGTGGTATCCGTAAAAACTAAAAATGGGATTATGAAGAGACCTATTTTAAAATTAACAACCTTACCCGTGAAAGATGAATGTACACAAAAATCAACAAATGACGCTCAAACACCGACATGTGATGACGTCACAACCGCCGACGCGCACTCAAACCAACGACAAAGGCGTGCGACGAGAAAATCTACAGCTTCATTTATTACGATGGCGATGATGCTGTTCATGGCCTTCTTCATACCTGCACAGTGCTCATACAACATATCAACATTTGACGACCACCAAAATATTTATTTCGATAAGATGTATGAGATGAATCTTATTCGAGATGAATGGAAGTTAATCGTGTACTATAACATGAGTACCTACTGGTCAGCATTACATCACGTGGAGAGTTACGTCAATCACTTAGAAGAGTACCTACACACTGCCATGCTGCCAACTCAATACAAAAGCATCATGATGAGTATCTTTCACCGGGACACTTCCTAGTTGGTGGACCGCTAATAACACGTCCACAAACGGATCCCGAACAAGTGAACTTGACCACAAGATGGCAGATGGTCCAGGCAATGAATAAACAATTCTGGAAGAAATGGTCATCTGATTACCTACAACAACTTCAAGTTCGTTCTAAGTGGAGAACACCCTCAAAAAACATTGAAGTGGATGAAATCGTTCTAATCAAGGACGAAAACCTGCCGCCTGGCAAGTGGGCAATGGGCAGAGTAATCGAGGTACATCCGGGCAAGGACGGATACGTCCGTGTGGTATCCGTAAAAACTAAAAATGGGATTATGAAGAGACCTATTTTAAAATTAACAACCTTACCCGTGAAAGATGAATGTACACAAAAACCAACAAATGACGCTCAAACACCGACATGTGATGACGTCACAACCGCCGACGCGCACTCAAACCAACGACAAAGGCGTGCGACGAGAAAATCTACAGCTTCATTTATTACGATGGCGATGATGCTGTTCATGGCCTTCTTCATACCTGCACAGTGCTCATACAACATATCAACATTTGACGACCACCAAAATATTTATTTCGATAAGATGTATGAGATGAATCTTATTCGAGATGAATGGAAGTTAATCGTGTACTATAACATGAGTACCTACTGGTCAGCATTACATCACGTGGAGAGTTACGTCAATCACTTAGAAGAGTACCTACACACTGCCATGCTGCCAACTCAATACAAAAGCATCATATATCAATTAGAACACGAGTTAACGGAAATCGAACACTATAACCGCATACTCAAGGGTCAAGCTAACAGAAGACAAAAAAGAGGCTTGGTTGACGGTATAGGCTATATAGCTAACTCCTTATTTGGAGTACTGGATGAGCGCTTTGCGCAACAATATGAAAAAGACATAGAAAAAATCTCGCAAAACGAAAAGCACTTACAACTATTGCTGAAAAATCAGACAAGTGTCATCGAATCTCAATACAATATTCTGCAGCGAAACGAAGCCATCATGAACAAGCAGTTTAGAATGGTACAGAAATACCTACAGAATGTAACGATGATAACAAATCGATGGCAAGCAGAAACTAACAACGAGCTACATGTCTTATCATCATCTATGTCAGCGATGATCATCATGAATAATCTTCGGAAAATGCAAGAGAATGTGATAAATACCGTCACTGACCTCGCACAAGGTCATATGGACGCACATTTACTGCCACCGGAACAATTAGAAGAGCAACTGAATATTATCTACAGCCACATACCTAACGATCTGACTTTACCTGCCAACAAACATGACTTTAAGGAGATTTACAAGCTAATGAAAATTAGTGGTGATATGGGCTCTTCGTACTTGATAATCGAAGTCAAGATACCTCTGGTAAACAAGGAAGGTTTTGAGCTGGACAAAGTTATAAGTCTTCCTCAGCACTCCTATATTGTAGAATTTCAAACACCATACATCGCATTCAATCTGCAAAGAGATCTACTTCTCACTCTAACAGAAACAGATGTTCAAAGCTGTATCCACGCACAGACAAACAAATTACTGTGCTCTATAGATAAGCCAATATATGAATTAAAAATAACTCAGTCGATTTGTAACTTGAGTATTCATAACAAAACACTCTGCACTGCAAAGGAGGCGCCGTGTCACGAGCGATGGATCAAGTTACATAGCGATAACAGGTGGCTATACTCATGTTGTGGGAAATGCTCGGTACGCATATTTTGCACCGACAGTGGAATGACAATGAAGTCACTAACCGGGAACGGCCTTCTAGAAATCGGTCAAGGTTGTACCGTAAAAACTGACACATTCTCCATACTTGGACACAACAACTACTTGAGCCACGTTCAAGTCCAGAGGGACCTACCATTATTGTCAGAAACTTCGATCCTGAATTCCATATTGAATTCTTCAGGCATCGAGTTTACACCTGATTATCATGACAATGAGTGGCGTAGTATGGAGACTCAAATCCGAACCCTCAAAGAACAGGAGAATGCGCCACTCAGCATACACGACGTGCATCAGTACTCAGTTCTTTATACGATACTGGGCCTCATTATTGTCGCGGGGTGCATCTTCATGGTCATGCGATGGCGAAGAATCAAGGGAGCCCTCAACATGGAGACTTCGAGCACTCAAGCGAATTCAATTCCGATGACAGCAGTCGCCAGCGTCAATCAGGCAGCGGCCACACCACCGAGGACCCGACCACGATCTGTGCGACTGGACATCCCTTCTATTAACATAGTTCAGTGATGAAATATTTAAGTTATTCAAACTTGTTATTTGTATTTGAAATTGTTTACATTTTTATTGTTAGTTATCATTATTGAACTCTTAATTTGTTACTTTATTTTACATTTATATAATTTTTGAATTTGTCCTTCTTTTAGAGTGGCAGGATGTACGGGTTACCGCACATATGTTAATGTCAACGACATACCTAATCTAGGTCACTTAGAAATAGCAATTATGCACACTTTTATACGTCACGTACGTTCGTACTTCTGCTATTCTATCATTTTATAAATAATTGTGTTATGTGAAATAAATCAGTGTTATTACGACTATCATTGGGTTTGGTTTCGTACACTAACTATCCCATACAAATCGTCGGCACTCATCCTGTAACTGTAAGACGCTACATAGTTTTTATAAGGGTAGTAAGTAGGTAGAATACTTTAATTTGAATGCCCAGGGTAGTGTAGTACATTTACTCGTCCACTATGCTACCTACCTATAAACATCTTATTTTAGAAAAAAACCGGGAAAAGTCTTTTAAATAAGCGAAAACAAAGTTCTCACCGCACTCGTTTTTTAATGGAGTTAGCGACGGAGCATGAATATTCACGTTACATTGATTGTAATCAGGAAACTCTTAAACCAGGAATACGAATTAGAATTTTGCTATGGATAAAAAAGAACAACGATATAATGACACAGAAAATCCAAGTCCTTGACAATAGGACACTGGATTAGCAAGCTGAAGTGACAGTGGGGTTTTAGGGACGATACCCAATGACCGGCGCGCGTCAGAGCGGCCGTAAAGAAAATAGTATTTTATTAACAGTTCTTAGGCTGAATTGCACCACCTAACTTTGATCGTAACTATGACGTCTATGACGTTAGCTGGTGTTTTTGTATGGAGTTTGACAGATCTTTGACGTTTGATAAAGTCAAAGTAAGATGGTGCAACCCAGCCTTAGAGTCGCAATTGCTTACAACTGATTAACTGACAATTCAACCCATCAAAAACAATACTTGTCAAAAAAACCAAGTCTCGCAACTCAGTTGTTCTACGGTAAAAAGTTGTGAGATCCATGTAATACCAAGTCCAGGCCAGGAAATCTTTAACGTTTTACAAATTATTGACTTGGCCATCGCACTAAATAATTTAATTTACACGTGTTTTCATGCGATGGCCAAGTCAATATATTTATGTAAAACGTTAAAGATTTCCTGGCCTGGACTTGGTATTACATGGATCTCACAACTTTTTACCGTAGAACAACTGAGTTGCGAGACTTGGTTTTTTTGACAAGTATTGTTTTTGATGGGATCTCATTTCTTTTTGTATTTTGTAGACAGCAGTTATGTATCTAGAAAACTGGACCGAAATTGAAAAATTTTACTCGACTTGGCGGTTGCACTAGAAGGCCCCCAAATATTTTAGTTTTTCCTTGATTCATACACCAAACACTACTTATATTCCAAATTTGAAGCTTCTAGGTCTGCTAGAAGTGCCTTAGAGTTTTGATGATCGGTGAGTCAGTGAGTCAGTGAGTCAGTGAGTGACAAAATTAAGTAACTTTGACCCGTTATAATTCTTAAACTACTGGTTCAAATTGAATGAAATTTTAAATATACCGTGTCTTTACAATGCCTGCATAGCTAATGAAAATTCAGCCTTCTAGTTTTATCCACAACGAAGTTAGAGGCAGTCGAAAATGGCCTGAATTGGTTCGAGAAAAGGATGGTACGGCCGTGCCGCTTTTTTGCCCGACTTGGTGGAGGCACTGCCGTGCCCCCAGATCCAGATGGATGCGCGAGCATGCGTCGGAAGCCGGTCAGCTCCGAGCGTATTCCAGCGCGGCAGCGGATACTATACTTTAGGCGATTATCACACTGCACCGCGCTCCGCCGCGGTACGCGGGACGACAGATTTAATAATTATATGCAAGTACCTCACTTTGTATAGAAAACACGCGCGGCACAACACACTGACAACGCGTTTGCGCGCGGGATTCGTTATATTATGTCGCCACGCGGACCGCGGCGGAACGCGGTGCAGTGTGATAATCGCCTTATTTGTTCTATGTATTTTCATGAGTAGCTGCAAAATAAACTTTTTAGTATTCTATTCTAAATGCTTGACGCATTGAATAGAGTGTCTCTACTGAGTACTTTCCTACCACAGTAATCGGTTATTTGTGGCATTATCCTTAGGCTTATTGTGAGAAGAATTATTTCCTTTTTACTCAAAATAAACGGGAATATTTCAAAGCATTTTTGTAGCTTTGAAATTAATTTGCCGTTTGATGATACTTATTATTAGGTGGTTCTTGCTTTGTTTTTAATTAGAGAGCGAAAATAATATCTAAAAGACCTGAATTGGTGTAATCTGCGATGATTGCTATTCAAACAGGACAAACTTTTGTTTATATTAAAACGTCTGAGTGATTTTTATGTACAAGTACTCGTATATTGTGAAAATAAAAACTATAAGCAAGATTATATTCGTTGTTCGTTACCAATAGTATTTTACATCAAAAAGGGGCAAGTTAAGTAACTCATAAACCTACATGTGACTTACTATGATATTGTGGTGTTTGAAATGACGTCATATTTAATCATACATAGTCGTGTTTGGGAAACGCAAAAGGATGCAAAACTCATCAAACAAATTTCATGCATTAACAACTAGAATATTCATTTATTGTAGAGCTGATGGCCGCTGGTGCAGGAAAGCTCTTGAGTGGCGACCACGAGCCA